ATGTGTTTCTTTTTGACAGGTTTTGCAAGAATTGTTAAGGAGCTACGAAGTACCTGATAGCTTGTTTGGCAAAGTTTGCATTATCATTGACAAGGTTAGTTCCTTGAGTTGCTTATTTTTTCATGAAATTTTGCTTGTTATCCTATTTCTAGCCGTGTCACTCAAACTATAGCATGTTAGTGTCTTGCATAAAATACATCCTGATCTTTGAATGTATCTTAGTCTGTTTGACGAAACACTACAGTGGATGCACAAATCATTAGTAGGTTGTTTTCTTTGAAGCACATGGCATGTTTAGTTTTCTGATCTTATTTGGGTGGGCAATGATATTCTGGAAAACAGATTGAAAAAATTCCAATTGATGAGATCAAAAGAGAATTAAAGTCATGTGGGATATCAGAAGAGGCTATTGAAGAGCTATTACATGTCCTTTCTGTGAAGTCGTTGAGCAAGCTGGAAGGTAGTTTTTTCTCAATTTTGTATTGAGAATTTCTTGTGGTTATTATTGTTTGCTATAGAGAAGTACCCAGGCAGGGGGCTACAGCCCTTTCAAGTGAATATGTTTATCTCTCTTTTAGAGAAGAGTAGCATGTTTTCTTAATTGTTTGATTTCTACAGAGGAGAGGAAAGAAGTACCATGACTTTTTCTGTTAAAAGAAAAGAAACATTATTAGGAACAGATAAGAAATAGCAGATAACAAATCTGCCAACAACAGCAATTTTAGGAACAGATAAGAAATAGCAGATAACAAATCTCCCAACAACAGCAAACTAACTTCAACCAAACTAGCTTCCCAATCTCTTTGCAAATTAGCTATGATGTTCAATTCTTCTACTTAGTTTTCATTGTTCGTTTGAATCTATGTTTACTTTTCCTTTGAATGCTGAAATGAATTCATGCTAGAATATATTAGATTGCAGTTTCATATTCAGGTGTAGAGAAATTAAACTTAGACTAGGCATTGTATCCAATGTATATGCTGCATCTATTAGTGTCAAGTTTCATGGATATGTGGCTGAACCAACTTGGTTGAGTGGCCGAGACCTCTTCACCTCATGTTGGAGAGCCTCAGTTTGATCCAGTGAATGTGTGTCATGCTGTTAGAAACTATTGTACCAAAAAACATATATAATTCATGGATATTGCCATAAGCAAAATGTTTTTTTGTTGCAGAAATATTAGCATATGATGAAAATCTCAATCCTAATTAGGTTATAATCTTGTCAATGTAGAGATAATGGGAGGTGCAGGGGAAGCAATTGCTGATCTGAAACAACTATTCTTACTCGCTGAAAAATTTGGCTATTCTGAGTGGATTCAGTTTGATGCATCTGTTGTTCGCGGCCTTGCTTACTACACTGGTATTGTATTCGAGGTTAGACTTATGATTCTTTCCCTTAAGATATATAACCTGTATTGCAGTTAAGCATGACTCTTGTTTCTCCAGTTCCTTGAATTTATTAAAAAATGAATTGGAAGTTGTGGGTTATTCGGCCTCAATCTCAAGAGCCGAAGGAAAAGACTGAAAATGAGTACTCGGTTTACTTTGATCTGTCATATGGGTCTAGTATTGAGTTTGTAGTGATGCCAGGGGCCATATCATCCAGGATTTTACATTTGGACCCATGACATCTAGGGAGCAGTATCTTGGATTATGCACCCTACTTGTCATCTAGTGAAATCCTCTGGGAAATTAGGTGCCTCTTAAATTCTCAAGGGGTCGAACTTTTTATCTCAAAAAAAGAAAAAGAAGTCTCCAGAGGTCGAAATTGGTGAGACTTAGAGTATGACCGTAATTATGAAATTGCTAAATATTTTCTTAAAAAAACTGTATTTTGTCCCAAAAGCATCTCTGGTAATAACCATACACTAATATCGCAATTGTATAAACCAAAACCTTGCAGGGCTTTGATCGAGAAGGGAAGCTGAGGGCCATTTGTGGTGGTGGGCGGTATGACAAGCTACTATCTACTTTTGGTGGGGATGACATTCCAGCATGTGGTTTTGGATTTGGGGATGCAGTCATTGTAGAAGTAAGTTTGAGTACCACTCTTTTTGGCTAAGCTCAATGTTCAATTATCTACACTTTTACTGGTAGCATAGTGATCTATTTCTTGGGCAAGCAGAATATAGCAAATAATCTAAAGTATATTCTGCCAAATTTTATTCAATGAGGATAAAATCTCAAAATGCTTTCATATATTTGTTTGGTCATGTCTCAAGATTTTCTTTAATAACAGATGATAACTGTGATCTCCATCAAAATTTTTGTTCTTTCTGTTATAGTTTCTTTTAAATGAAAAGTGCAATATGATGTTTCATCCTTCTCCGTATATTACTTCGAGTTAACAATCTGTCTCTTCCAAATGGGTTGTCACGGAGGAGTTCAAGCCTGTTTAATCATATCTTTGGTAACCCCTTTTTTTTTTGGTTGTATTATTTTTATCTTGGTTGAAAGGCTATTGATAGTTCAATAAGTAACAATTCTTTCGTGTGACTTGAGCATCATCTTAGTAGATGGTACTTTCTAATTAAAGGATTTAGTTTGATATGAGAAATTATGGATTATATCAGTCCTTACTATTTTTTCCTTTTTCTCTTGTTTTTTGTATATTTTATCAGTTAAGTTTAATGTATTTTACACTATACCTATTTATTCCTCTCTTTTTTTCTACGTTCTGTCTTTTTTTTTCGTTTTGTTTCTGCCTCATAGTTGCTTAAAGAGAAGGGCCTCCTACCAGAACTCAGACTTCAAGTAGACAACATTGTGTGTGCTCTTGATCATGATCTTCAAGGACCAGCTGCTACAGTTGCTACTATTCTCAGACAGAAAGGCCAGAGTGTTGATCTAGTCTTGGAAAACAAACCACTCAAATGGTATTGAATTCTATCATTCTTGTTACTATGTCATTTCCGATAGGTGCGGAGATGAGCAGGGTCAGATGTTTGAATATTTGAGCTTGGTTTACTAAAAAAAATAAGAGGTCAAGATTGACCCAAAGCTCTATTTGAGATTATTTAAAACTTAGATTTGGCTCATAAAAAAAGAAATATAAGGTTTTGAACTTGATTCGACTTTACCCTGGTAAAAAAATGAGCCTAGCTGAGTTCAACCAAAAATTGATTAGGTACAAATTCGAATTTATAAAAATAATTTTCATATAAAATTTTATTTGTTATTAACAAAGTTAGAGGATTTA